TTTCAATTTTAAACATTTAAAAATTAATTGATCTGATATCAGTTAAATTTGACAATTTTAATTACTAAATTATTTTCTAAAACGTACAAAAAAAAAATATTCAATAACTTTTTTATTTAAAAGCAAAAAAAAAAAAATTATTTAACCTTGATTGTATTCTTTCAATGATAATATCTAGTATAAAATATCTACAATATTCTTTTAAAACAAAAAAGTTTTTCAATAATTTATTTATTATCGTTATAATGCCAAGCTATGTTTGTAACATAAAGTTATTTGTTTCTTCAAAAATGACATTATGATGTACACAAATGTCTACAAATAAAAATCGACTAAAATAAATAAAACGAATAAAAGAATATAGTTGAATAAAACTATAAAATATTTGAAATTAAATAAACCAGAAATATAACAAACCATTAACTATTAATGTTTACCACTTTCTAAAAATATATAATTCATTTTCTCGCAAGTGTAATAATTTATATATGAATATCTTATAAGTTATAACAAATGTTAACTTTTTTACTCTAAAAAATTTTATTTGTCTCTTATTTTATAGAAAATATATATTATTTATTATAAAATGAATAAATCGGTTGATAGTTATTAGATAGCAAACTATTTTAAAAAATATTAATAATAAATCAAAACTTGAAATAAAACTGAAGTTAAATATAAAATAACAATATTGTTTGTATTCGGATAAGTTAAATAAATAATATGCATTTATAAAACCATTTATTTCGACCGTGAATTTTCAACTTTATATTATAGTTTTTGAATGATTTACTGTACTAAGTAATAAATATTAATAATGTGGTTGCGATGTTTAATGAATTTTCTTGGATTATATCATAAGTATAAATCGTCTTCTGTTTAATATATATGTTGTGATATATTTCACATTATTTTAAAACTTCGACTTGGTAAGATCATATGCTATGAAAACGCATTATTTTTAACGTTCTTTTGAAAGTACCGGCATAGAAGTTTTTGGTATGTGAGATAAATTTAGTACTTTTCAATCATTTATTTTAAAATAGTAATCAACCCTTATATTTTATTCGTAGCTAATGTGTTCAGATGTTGATTTATTAATTATTTGTTCTATTGTATAATGTAAGACATATAAATTCTTCAGAAGATTATTTTTTTAATTGCATATCATAATTTTAAACTCGTTAACCCATATTATCCAATTTAACGAGTTCTCCAATTTGTGTTTCATTGTTAAATGTTCAAATGAATATTGCAATGTATCTATGCCATAAGTTACTGTAGATTAAAATACTAGATAGACTATCGTAATCTTCTAAAAAAATCGGTATAACCTCTAATCTAGTATCAGGTTAGGTCAGGTTAGGCAAAAATCTATCTTTGAATATTTTTATCAAAGGAATGTTTATTTTATATTATATACATAAAAGTTATTAAATACTCAGATCATCCATATTAAGCAAAAAACAATGTTTATTTTTTAATGTTCTTTTTTTATTAAATATAATATTGCTATTCGTAAAAAAAAATACTTTTAAAATATGCGATTTTATTTGAAAATTTCTCAAATTATTTAGCATATTTTAATGTCACAAAGAACGTTTATTTAATCTAATATCATAAAATGTTGAGTAAAGTGTTAAAGTTATTAGTTTTACAACGATTTATTACCATTGTGTACCAGACAGTTTAAACGGAATTCAATAAATATATACAGAATTTTAGAATGTTTTATAGATTATATTGCTTATCAATAAATTATTACTTACTCTACACCTGTTTTAACTTATAAAAAATAACTTGTGACTGTTTAATACCTTATACTTTAAGTGCGTAAAATAAAAAGATAATTTTACACAACGTTAGTGTAATTGATCATAATTTACACACTAAATATTTTAAACATATAAAATAATTGTAACTATAATTAACGTAAGGAAACTCTCATATAATCATTCTTAATTCTTTATACAAATATAACGTATAATATTTTTGAATTTAATCATAAAATTTATTTATTTTTATACATATATATATATATATATATATATAAATATATATTAAAATTACATTTAGATGATGTTGCTACAATGGCATATGGGGCTTTTAACATGACAAGACAAATACTTGCTATGACAGTATATAATTGAGTTGTATTTGTTTATGTACATTTTTTACGTATTTACGTACAATTATACTACCTATCTGAAGACTTATCTCTAACTGTCAATAAGATACCATTGATAGTGTGTAGTTTTATAATAGAAAAACAACCATATGCTAAACTTTTTCACTTAAAACTTTATACATTTTTAAAGGAGCATTACTTCTTGCAATAAGATATTATTAAAATGCCTCACACTTATTTTTATATATTTTTTTGTATTATTTATTTAAAATAATATTTACACTGTATACTTATTTTAGCAAATAGGCAAATTAAATGAATAATTAACATACACATACATACACACATACACACGAATACTTAAAGAAGAAAGCAACTAATTAGTATCACCTATGAATTTTTAGATATTAATCAACAAACTTACTAACAACCTACCATAAAAAATAATAAACACTAAATTATTCTAATTAACTAAGAAATGCGATTAATGTTGATCGTAAATTAATCTTAATTAACGCATTTTTATCAAATTCTTCCTCTAATTTTTTTTCTTTTATTTGTACATAAAAATTGTTTTTTTATAAAATATCTTGGTTAACCAATTCAATTAACTTATATGATCGGGTTAAAACACACACAATTTTTTATTTTTTAGATGTATTAAATTCAAAAATTTATATATAAACTCACTATTGAAAGACCATTTCAAAATGGATCTTTCAGTCAAGCTAGCACGAAAGTTTTTTTTTTAAACAATGTAGATTTACTTATCACTTTGACTTATTTGTACAAAGTAATGTATACATTGTTAAATAGTTTAATAGAATTAAAAAAAAAAAAAATGTTCAAAAAAGGAAAGTTGTTTTGTCATATTGGGACTGTAATAAACATTATTTTTGCATGTGTATTTTTAATATTATTGTCTCTAATATGAATAAAACAAATAATAGTTTTTATGCAATTGATTTGTGATAAACATTTAGCTGTAAATATTTTTAAAATATACTCTGTATTTAGATTTTTAAGCCATTTACGTATTCTGGATTCGATATATGAACATAATATGACATATTATTACTAACAAATATCATTGATGCGTCATAAATATAAAAAATACGTTTTTAATACAATAATGTGCTATTAGCTTAGGTATTAATAGTATGAGTATGTATACTATACAGCAGTTAGTTATAATACATATCTAGAGAATTCAATAAATTTGGAAACAGTTATTAGATCATATGGAATTGATAAACGATAATATGATATAAATTATTATGTTATTATATATTTTACTTTATAAACGTACTGCAATGTTATTTGTTATTTATCCATGACGTATGTACATATTACTGTACATGATTACAGTAATAATTAAGTACTAACAACTAATAAATACTTATACCAGTATAGTGTTGTTGTATATATCCAAACAACAGAATTTGCTACTGAATAATTTAACTTTTACATTTGATATATCTCAACATATTCATAATTTTGAAGTTTTCTTATCTTTTTAAATCTAGATTCTAGGTGTAATTGTATTATTCTATAAAATAACCGTTTTTCAGTCGATTTACTTTAGAATGATAATAATAATGATTATCTTTAACATTTTTAGAAAAGTTTCACTATTGGTTTTGATAAAAACAATCGGTACATTTTATAATAATGATACAAAATTGATCATTTATTAGATAGTTAAATTTTATTATTATGGCCCATATAACTTATAGGTAGGTAGGTAGTTTAAATTTTTAGCCTCACATACTACACATTTCTGTTTTTCATAAATCATATTATTAGTTATTGAAATATTCTTAACTTAACTGTATCCCTTGTGTATGTTGCATACTTATACATATATATAAATATTATAAAGGTAGTCATTTTTATTTTAGAATGTATAAAGACCCCATAACCTCATAACTGCCATACTCTCCGTCTTTCTCTATCACTTGCTTTATCGTCTCTATTGTTCACTTCTAACATATTTAATGTATTTTTGCACTCTATTCACCTATCCCCGTGTTGGCTCGGTTTCGGTAAACTAATCTTAAGTGTCCATATTGTAACTTTCTTTATACATTTTTACACGACTTTTTTCCTCTTTTTTGTTCACTTTTCATTGTCGTAATTATGTCAACATCTTCCAGCACATAATATCTTACATCCTCGTTAATACGCTATTTTTATTCCCACATGTTCTAGCCTCTTACGGGTTTAAATATGAGTATTTATCATACAATTTGTCTTTAATTGTTATCTAGCTTTTATCATCTTCTATTTATGTAATTTTTCAAGGTTCGTACATTACACACATCACACATATATCAAAATCGGGCCAATGGAAAACTTATAATACAGTGTCAATTTAGTTCTTTCGTACACTAGTCGAGGTTATTTTATAACAGTTTTTATTCCTTATGGCAAACAATCATCCGTTTTAGCCACGTTAACGTTTGAAAATATCCTCACGAGTGTCTCCTGTAAATTTTTTTCTATACCACTCGAGTATTTAAATTTATCCACTCGTTAAAACACTTCATCACACATTTTCCGCTGCTGCGGGCTAAAGTATAATATAATTATACCGTGCCACAATAGCGAAAATGTCGACTAATCTACATTCGCCAATGTGCGACGGTTAGATCTCAATAGCGTCATCGTTGTTATACTCATTAATCGTTCAATTTTAGCGATTCGTCGTTATGCGGAGATAAGACGGTCGGACCGCAGTGCGTGTCACTTCGACCGGAACGAGCGCAAAGCGAAAGTCGAACGTTTTTCGATTTCGTCGTTTGTGTCGGACGTTTCCGGTCCACAGACTCCTCCGCAAAAACTTCACCACTAACACGACCGTTGGTTATAGGTCAGGGACGCGTCGTCACTTCGAGGTGGTGCCGGGACGTCATGCTGCCGGTGTGGCGGGCGGCAATGCGGCGATGACGGCGACCGCCAGCGTGACCTGAGAGTGGCCGGCCGGTTATGCTCGGGTCGGCGTACCCGGATGTCGTTTAAATGGACGGCGTCAACGTCACGGCCGCAGCGTACGAGCAGCACAGCAACGAGACAGCGGTGCCGTGGCCGAGGAACGCGACGACCGCCGCCGGCCCGCCGTCAACGTACACGGCGCTGGAAGCGTTCACCATCGGCTCCGTACTGTTCCTGGTCATCGTGGTGACCATCGTCGGCAACGTGCTCGTCTGCATCGCCGTGTGCCTGGTCCGCAAGCTGCGGCGCCCTTGTAACTATCTGCTCGTGTCGCTGGCCGTGTCCGACCTGTGCGTGGCCCTGCTCGTCATGCCAATGGCCCTGTTCTACCTGGTGCTGGGCAAATGGCCGTTCGGCACGTTCGTGTGCGACCTCTGGGTACGTGTGACATGTCACTGCTGTCAGTGGACGGCGATCGTTCGGGCGAGCGGTACACCCGAACTAGAGTTTACGTCAGTTGGTCGTCTCTGAAATCGGTCGTTTGGTAAATTGGTCCAAGTACATTTTCGTCGCGAAACATAAATATCGGTTCAATATATAGGTACAATTCGACAACAGTTATTATTATACGTTTTGCGATAATAATTTGAATTACAGCGTGTACAAATTTAAACTGTCAGGCCAAACCGTCTGAAAATGATTCTATATTGTACCGGAGCAGAAATCCCTAGAAAACGATATAATGACACCACTGAGAGGATAAACACAATATATAAAACATTTAATGATCAAACATTAATTGATGAATCGCAGATAGCTCATAACTTATAATACTTTTCACACATATTAGTTTTTATAACTTATATTTTCACACATACTTGTATTACTACAAATTCTTTTGAGAGAAATTACGAGAAAATATTATTTTTATTACTAATACGTATATATTATTTTTTTAAACGACCAATTTTTCAAACGACCAATTTATCACGACCAAATTCATATAACCGATTGACTGTACCCCTCTAATCTAAACTTTGACGTGCGCGCGATTGGATTTTTTTTTTTTTAACTTTATTATTTATTTTTCACCGCGCGTTACTCAGTCACGGTGTAAATGCTATACCGTCTATACTGGGGGTGACCGACTTGCGGTTCGCGAGCCACATGTGGTTCTCGTCAGATGCGACTCACGTCTTGTTTATAAAAAATTGAAATTTACTCGTTATTATTATTACTACCTACACCGGAATTTCAATTCCTAAGGTATACGTTTATAAAAAAAAAAAAACTATCAAATAATATAAAATATATCTTTAAACGCTTTGGCTTTGGTACCGTCGTATTTTATCCACGTGACCCGCGAACCTCATTTATGTTGACCACCCCTGATCAATACCGTTACAATATGTGTTGAAGTTGCAGTGCACCATTGATATTATTTATTTCAAATCGAAAATATACATCACTGTCATACTCAGTGTATGAATAAATTTACCAATAAACCTTTTCGTACTCATCCGCTCAAACGATAGTTTAGGTGGATTGTTCACTTGCTCAAACGATCGACGCCCGTTTTAATAGTAACGCGATTACAATTCGTATATACATAATATAGGTATGCGCAGGAAAGCAGATTACATTAAATACGGAATCATTTATCGTTAAATTTATGTTTTTTTTTTTTTTTTGAAAATTATATATTTTACTCTTTTTTAAATAATAAAACACATTTTTAATTTCTCATTTTTTAGAGTAGAACGTTTCTCCTTCCCTATAATTTTGATGTACAACAATTGAATATGTGAACACACAATAATGTAATATAATCAATCATAATTATAAAGCTTAAATTTGATTGTACTCAGAAAAATGTTGGCATCGGTTCTTGACGAAATCAATACAGTTTATAATGTGCAGTGCATACCGATGTTTAAAAATGCTTATAAACACTGTTTTCCGACAGATATAAATTCAATCGTTTGGTATAATGAGATAAAAAAAAACCAACCAATTATTTATGGGTTAGAAGGTAAACCCGAAGTACGAATTGGTTGGCAATTATGTAAACGGTAGGTAGATACTTAAATAGCATAATATACATTCATAATAGAAGTATAATAATATGCCTTACTCGCTGTGATGGCATTTAACTTAGGAATTAAACAGTAATAAAAGTAAACATTTTGTCATTTTAATAGTATGTTATTTACGTTTAATACTCATGTATTCTTTACAATTTGAATAATACAATTTACAAGGGAACACATTTTTATTAGATACAATTCCAAAATTCGTTTCAATAAATCACTTGTTTATCGATTCGTATTATGCAAACAGTTCTGCGACACACACGTTAAAAAATATATGTAACAAAGAATACAATGGACAAAGTAAAATTATATCCGACATTTTAATATTGTAAATTAACAAAAGAATCTTTTTAACTCTGAATTACAGTATAGTTACAATTGAAATATCTATTTTATTATTATTCTACTGTTTTCTAAAAATAACCTAATACAACAATTCTGAAATGTATCTATTTTTTCAGTTTTAACTTTTGAAACTTATTAAATATCGGTTATTAACATCGTAATCGCATTACATTACATCGCTGCGACTCCTTTCTGGAAATTCATAAAAATAATTCAAGATATTGTTTTCTCGACTTAAAATTGAATTAAGACAATATGACTATTTAATAACACTTGCCTGTAGATTTAACAAAAACATATCCGGTTTATAATAAATGTCTAAAATTATAAATAACTATACGCATAAAACTTGAAAAACATTTTTGTTTCTATTTTTGAATCATAATATTTACAAAGTTATTAATTCAAATTAAATTTGTTTCAAATATTTAACAACTATTAATTAAAATCACATATTTAAATAAATATTAGTGTTTTTTATAAAATATTATGAGTAGTTTATAATGTAGTGTAATTTGTTTCACTAGTCAGAATTGTTTGAATTGCTATCAGAAATCTAAGTTCCACGCGTCTAAGCTTTAAATAATTATTAAACTATAACTAGTTAATTAAAATTCAAATATATGATTTTTATACACTGAAAGATATTCTGATTTGAAATATATTAAATTAAAAATGTATGTTCTTATACCAAAAAAAAAAAATTTTGATTGAAATAACGATAAAGATAAAAATAGTAAAAATATTTGTTTTCCAAAAATGTCATTTTGTTACACCTTTTTGAAATCGCGATTATAGACACAGATCGTTTTGTGTATCACACCTACACTGTCCATTCGGTACGATACACGATCGATGTATAATATTAAATTATCGTCGTCATACGAACGACATAAGGATATCATATACGTCTCACTACCCACCGCCCTCCGCATATGTGTGACGAATCCGTCGGTCGGTCGACGTCTCTCGCCCACGCCGCCGCTGATTTCTCCTCTCGACACTTAACGCCCCCCCCCCCCATACCGTCGATTTCGCAAGCGCCGCTCGTGCGATTCGTCGATTTTGAAACGCGATTTTTGAAACCCGTACCATCGTATCAGCGGTGCGTTCCCCGATGTAACAAACGACATTTACCCATAACCCAGTACATATTTTACCAGCGGGCGAGGAGGGAGGTAAAAACTGTCGAGGGCGACCTTGTCCGGGGACGGTAGGTCGCACACGCCCCCGAAAACGCGTCGGACTGCGCGACCAAACACACAAACAAACAAAAACGAAAACACAAACAATTCGATGCGGTCGTCGATACGTAAACGTACGACGACGCGGTGGTGCGCTGTAATGACAACGAGTGCGTGTGGTCCCACAGGTGTCGTTCGACGTGCTGTCGTGCACCGCGTCCATACTGAACCTGTGCATGATCAGCGTGGACCGGTACTACGCCATCACCAAGCCGCTCGAGTACGGCGTGAAGCGGACGCCCCGCCGGATGTTGGTGTGCGTGTCGCTGGTGTGGCTGGGCGCGGCGTGCATCAGCCTGCCGCCGGTGCTCATACTTGGCAACGAGCACTCGACCGTGGACGGGGTGCCGCACTGCACCGTGTGCCAGAACTTCGGTTACCAGATATACGCCACGCTGGGCTCGTTCTACATACCGCTGACCGTCATGATCACCGTGTACTACAAGATCTTCCGGGCCGCCCGCAAGATCGTGCTGGAGGAGCGGCGGGCGCAGAGCCACCTGGAGAACAGCCACTGTTACCTGGAGATCAGCGTCAAGAACGGCGTGGGCCAGGTCGAGTCAAAAATCGCGGCCGCCGCGCCGGAACGCGGCCAACACGATCACCGGGCCAGCAGCAGCGCCAGCACCGTTACCACGGTAAGTGTCCACATATCGGACCATGATAATAGTAATAATAATAATAATAATAATAATAATGATTATTCGTATTACGTCGTGTCTTGACATCGTCGTTTATCGCCGAATGCCGCTGTTGTTGACGTTGAACTGCACCCCCGCGGGAGGGAAGAGAGGTCCGATGACTCCGGCGGTGTTTGACGAGAAGAATTTCAAAATGTCCTTTATTCACTTTTCCGTTCGCGTACACTAACGTCCGTCAACACCGCCGTTATCCCTCAACAATATTGTCGTGCGGTTGTCCATCGCACATTTCACGTGTCTTTCTGCACACACCACTCTTCCGCTCTGACGACTGTTCTGTATTACCGTGGTATCTCGTCCGCAACAAGAAGGTTATGAGTTTATGTTTATACGCATTGCCATCGTGTTTTGTCGCTTGACGTTGACGTTCGATTTTTTCGTACGTTTTTGCGCGTTTTCCTAGTATTTTTGCTAATTAAAATATGCTCAGTCATTACTCATTCTGTTGTAAAAACATATACACACCGAAGAATAAATGAGCATTTTAAAGATTTGAAGTCGTTCAGGGTTTTAAAATATTACGAAACAAAAATAAAAGAAAAAACTATTAAAGTTTTATGTGTCTCGACCATCGGGATTTGTTTTGTTCAGTGTCCTACTCCCGTCCCTCTCCCTTTATCAGTCAACTTTAAAAACTTGTAGCAACATGGGAAATCTTTTTATTACGCTTTCCATATAAACTTGAAACTAATTAGTACATATTGCTTACAATTTTTAAGTCGTAGAATAAGCATTTCACAAATTTACTTATAACTATGAAGCCAACATACAAACTTTGATTTTAAATAAAAACTTCAATGTGCATAACATTAAGTCTACTATACTATATTACACGTGTGTCATGAGAAATTTAATGCCTTGTTTTCAACGGAAATTTTACATTTACTACTTTAACATGCATAGTATTATACATTTTCTAAACAGTAAAAATCTTTAGAAATAAAAAAAAACTCATTGAGTATTTCACTACAATGGATATGTTTGATTTGAATTTAATGATTAATAATTGCATTCAAAATTCAATTCTGATTGGATAATACTTATCACCTATAAGTGAAAAATAAATGATAATTTTAGTACGTCAAGTACTCATTGTGAAATATTTCAAGTTTCTAATTTTTTATGATTTGATATTTATAAATATTTAAAAATAAATTATTTTATTATAAATATATTTTATATTATTTAGTTCACTAAACATTTAAACATCATATTCATATTCCTTTCACTATTCTAAGCATTCTTTGTAAATCTTCTTTATTTTCAAATATTGTTGCTTTGCGTATCATCAACAAATCATATTGTATAAACTGTCTATGTCTTTATACTAATATTGAATTACATTATTAATTTAAAATTATTCGAGTTTCAATAATAGAAATATCAAAATACTAAAGACTATAATGGGATTAATTAAAACCTTTTATTTGTTATATATGACTGTAGCTTACCTAAGTAATATAACTAGACTATGTCATTATGAACTTATAACAAGTTCTTACCTTTATTCTTATCTTATTTATATATTTTTAGAGCATCGATTTTATTGGACTGTATAATTCCATTTCAGTAGTTTAAATATTTAAAAACTTCAGATTTTGCTATTCAGGGTATAATTTATTTTCCTAAATAATATAAATATTCTTTATTTATTTATTTTTTTTATTTATACATACAAATTTTTATTAAAGGTAAAACATGTATTTATACTGTGTTCATACACATTATTACCACAGATAACTGCAAGTTAAAATAATCTTCGTTATACGATAAACATTCAGATGTTTTCCGCTGAGACAATTTTGAATGTATTATAATCTAAACGACATTTTCAATCGTGTGTTTACACAACACGAATATTTTCTCGGAATTTCTGAGACGTAAACACAAATAAATACACTTTTTTTTCTCTTTCAGACGACAAACATATAGGTGACAGCGGTGGTATGCTTTGTAAAGCAACTACATGAGTGTTCTCTTGCGAATAAAACATAAAAAATATTATTAGAGTTGATATATATTTTCTTCTTATTCCCATTATCCTCTACTGTAGCATTTCGTTATATTTATATATATACACGCACAATCCTCAAGCTTGTATACATACACACACGCACCAATATATAAATATTTTATACTTGAAAATAATATAATACCATCGAACCCTGCCATTTCTTTCGTGAACATTGTAATGTATCCCCTAGCAGCAGCCTTTACAATGTATAAAATAAAAATGACAAAACTAAGACGATTTGATGTCCTTTTGGCTCTTTGTTACAACTACCAAAATATTCAAAATTAAATGCTGGCTCTTTCGATCGAAACAAAAAATGACTATACACAACATACGTATCCACTTCGTATGCAGTAGGTATAGTAGGTATAGGCATAGAAATCAGTGAGAGAATATAGAACACTATTATTTTCCAATATTTATTTTGTACTTCATTCGGTTATCGATCCGAATGGCCACGTCGGTGGGCAAAGAATGTGTGCGCGTAGGTCGCTGTGACGTTGTTGTTGTAGTCGTGGTTGCCGTAGCGGTTGTGGTTGTTATTGTTGTTGCACGCGAAGAGCTTCAATGAATACAGCTATTGACAGCCCTTAAAATTGATGAATGTTTCTTATGGCAGAAATCCTTCACCCCCGACAGATCCATCCTCGCACCCTTGCACCCTCACACCGCCAGCAAACGCGTTTTTTCCACCTTACCGCTATTAAAATATCCACGTGTACGACGGCGGCATAAAAGTGCTTCAATTCACGATATGGTTTTCGTACGCCAAATAAGCTGCCCGACGTCCGCCTTCAATAGTCAGCACTCAGCGCTTTGGACTTAAAAATTAAACTCGCAGTACGTTTTCTGTTTACTTTTACTGAACAATTTCTTACATTCATTCTTAATGCTATTACGTTATTTTTGTCATGAACTAAGATTTATTAACTCGATATATGCAATCAACCGAAATCCAACACTCACATTTGTGTAATACATTTTTCTACTCGAACGATAATTTATTACACTACACATGCCACAAGAGACTTATAATATTCCTCTCGAAACCAAATATAAGATGAACAAGTAACCATTAACCTATGACAATATAACATGACAGTTATATTGTCAAATTATTCATGAAATCTACAATATAAATCTATATTTGTCTGTATTAAATAGATCAAAATGATTATTAAAATACTTGTCATACAACAAAAGCTTGAATTAAATAACAATCTTGACAGGTATTAGTCGTTTACCATAATTTCAATATTCATGTTTATATCAATATTTTTTTAAAAAAGCGACATCTTAAAAACCGAGTTTATCTTAGTAAAAGTGAATACTTTTAATTTGGTTAAGATTATTTGATTTTTATATCATTAGCTAATTGTATATAGTATATACTTCTTTTCTTTTATCTAAATTTAACGGTGAATACATTTTTAACATCATTAATGTCACTGTGTTTGCTATTAAACTGATTATTTTATTAAACAAAATCAATTAAAAATGTTGAATTTATTTACAAACTATAAAATTTTAATCAAGTTTAAAAACCAAAGAATTGTTGGTTAATACATTAATTTTTAAACGATTTTAAATTTTAAATTGCTTGTAAGGCATCTTAATACTATAAAAAAATAAACAACAAATAATTAATATATGACGAAATATAATAAAACAATAAATTTACTTAATTTATACATCTCTCAAATAGATTGCAGTTTTTTATAATGATAATTTAATTTGATCTTATGTGCAATGCCCCAGGCAGTATTATCAACTTTTTCTAATCATATTATAAATTCATCAATGTTTAATTAAATTTAATTATTTTTCAATTAAATGAAATTGCACATTAGGATGTATTTAACTATTTTAGCTATTTAATGTTAAATATTTTGTACAAGAATATTTAAACAAAAACATATAGATACATCACATATCAATGTATAAAAACTGAATAATTTTAAAAATAAAGATTTAAAAATAATAATTATTTTTTAATAATAATTGTAGAGAAATAATAGCTCAATTAAGTAATCATGTAATATGATAAATAATTGAAAATGCTGTGTGTCGTAATCATCATCAGCGTAAGTCATAAAAATACAATTTTTATTGATGAGTTTTGCGCATGATAACGTTAAAGATGTCTATTTTCTCCTTTCTTGCATTTCATAAAAATTTGTCTGTATATATACAGACAACTAGATTTTTATAGGGTATTTATAATATATAAATGTATATATATATGTGTGTGTGTATCTGTGTGTATCTGTGTATCTGAGTGTGTCTGTCTGTGTGTATGTGTATTTGTGTTTTGTATGTTTATCCCACACGGCCAACGATTACATTTTATGACGGATATTTATCGGTGCCGAGGAGCACAATAATAGCAATATTATTATGATTACAACAACGATGGCGGATGGCGATGAAAATGAAATGGCGTAGGTCCATTTTATTGTCAGTGACGGTGGCGTCTGATAAATATAGACCATTTGACTCGTCCCGAAATAGGAAATTTTATTTACCTGAGCGTAAAATGGCTATTTCGTCAGATTTCCAACCCTTAGGTTCTCATTCTCCATTTTTGGCATAAAACGTTATTACTATACGTGAAAATAACTTGTGTGCTCTCCCGTGGTGGTAGAATAACGACATATAGCTACTATAGTTATTGCATTTGTGCCGGACGTATGCGTTCAAAAAAAAAACTATTTTTGCATTCTTTTGATTTTTACCCTTACTGAACTTGATAATACACTTACTTGTTTATGTTAAAACTTCATGGTAAAAATACATTTACGGAAATTTAAAAATGACTCACTTGTATTCCTTATTATTTTTGCAAATCTATAAACAACATATACTGACCAGAGAAAATAAATGAAAATAAATTGTAATTATGTAATATGTAAAAGTAACAATA